TGAAAGGTGGTGGCTTGTTCTCTTTCCAGGTTACACACAAACTCCTGTTTTCCCCCCAGGAACTGACACTCCAGATGAATCTGCTAGAGCTGATCCGGAAGCTGCAGCAAAAGGAATGGCAGCCTAGGAAGCCTTGTCCTTGAGGGGGGGCACGGGAAGGCCTCCCGCCACACCTCGTATTGACCCATGTGGGTCTTGTGGAAAAGTTGACGATGCGGCTGGTTGTTTTTATGTAAGAGACTCGGCTTGCCCAAGAGCGAAACAGGGCAGGGCCTGGCAGCCCCGGGCTTTCTTACGGCACCTCCACACGAAGGAGTTCAGCTCGAGTTTGTGTTTGTTTATTGTCTCTCTCGGGAGGGGGGCCGTGGTTGTTTATTTCTAACTTTTGAGGGATTTCCAAAATATCTGAAGGTGGATATTTTGAAATTGTAATATAGAAAATACAGGCTGTCAAAAAGGCAATAAACGCAATTTATTCATTAGATTTTTATGGCCTCCCATCTCAGATGCATGGCTCTGGGCGGCTAACATTATTAAAAATGATAAAAACAGATACGGAAAATGCAGAGCGCATAGCAGCTGGGAAAAAAGTACGGAAGCAACTATCAAGCGTTCAGCCCAGCCAAGGAACGGGCTCTGTCACACACCCGGGGCCCCAGGCTTGAACCCACAGCCAAGTCTCCAAGGCCTTGCAATGTTCTGTTTTAGCATCTGTGCAAGTTTTCATCCTGGGGAAGGAGAACGAGTCCTGTGGATGGGGATGTTTGCCAAAATTTCATTTTATGATTAGGGAAAGAACTTAGGTATTTGAATATTGATGCCATTCTTCAACATCAAGGTTTCCCAGGGCAGCTTGCAAGGTATTGTGTTCTCCAGCCAGAGTAGCACAGAAGCATAAAAACATGCTAAAACAGCATTAGTAAACCCAACAAGGGAGGAAATAGAAGTCTTTAATCTAAGAAGCACTAAACTTCCCCAATCTGGTGCTCTCTTCGAGGTGCTAGAACTGCAACCCTCAGAATTCCCCAGATCAGCCTCTGAACCCCACAATTTTGATAAAACAAAAAATGAACATTAGTGCTGTATGCCAATAAAAATGAAACCGCCATTTTGGCATGATGAAATGCAGAAAAAGCCTTTGATATATTACAAATTAAGTTTTTGGAGCAAGTCATGAAGAAAAACTGATTTTTGGTAAAAATATTTCTTGGATAAAAAATGATTCTCTGAAATGATACTGAATATGTACCAGTGCGAGCCCAGCTTGAGAGTGAATATTTGGCGGCTTTAAAGCCTTGGCAAGCACTTAATTCCAATCAGAGTGGGAATTCCAAGATTTTTGAGCACCATGGATGTGGGCTTTCTGGGGAAGGAAATTAAAATTTGATGGGTTGAAAGTGATATAATTGGATAATAAGTACTGATACTTTTCAACCCTTTGAAAACTTACAAATATCATTTACCAAAAACAGCCCAAAAGCAATATATACACTGAAACTGTTCTTTATTTGGTCCAGGAACTTAGGCAGTAATGCAATAAATTTAGAATACAGAAATGATTACAGAATCAGCGGCCTTGGATTTTAAGAAACGTTAAGTGTTTCTTACGATTTTAAAACCAAGTTAGTCCAACAGAAAATTGTTTCTGGAACTGATTGCACTCCTCAACAGATGTTTTTAAAGTCGGTCATTATTCTTACACTGAGGATGTAACAAATTTGAACAGACGTGTGCATTTGCTTTGGTCCAGTCCACTGGAAATTCTTGTGTGGTTAGTGACGAGCTAGTTTTTGGGGAGGAAACTGTTTTAAAAATGTGAATATGTTGCTAAATTGCATTCCAAAATCTGGAATTCATCTGTCTGAAGAGCTTTGAATATATCGTGCCTGGACTTATGGAAAAAGTGATGGTGTAAGGACGGCAGGTTGGCCGAATGAGACTTGTCCACTCTCTGCCCCCGAATTGGCTCTGCATCACCGAAGAAACGCAAATAGACAAAACAGTTCCAGACAGCCTTGGTTTCATTTGCTATCCAGAAATGTTTGGTACCATAGCAAAATAGAGAAATGACGGTTCTACCATTACATTTTATTCTCTTGTTTAGGTCGTACTGTTATTTTAGAATAACAGTATTTATTTTACTGTGTCTTTGAGTCAGTGTTGACTCCTGGCAGCTGCCTGGACAAGTCCTTGCAATTTTCTTGGCAAAATTTCCGGAAGGGGCTTGCCCTGGCCGCCTCCTTCCTAGGATGGAGAGAGGGACCAGCCCAGGGTCCCCCAACTCACTTCGTGCCCAAGGTGGGAGTTGGACTCCCCGTCTGCCGGTTTCTGGCCTGGTGCCTTAACCAGCACACCACACAGGCTCTCTCGGTGCATTTGGTACACTTAAAATGAAGTGTGTAAGTTCTGTATCCAATTCCTGTTTGCACTTTTGATATTACTCATTCACCTATCTTGCAAGGACAGATGTAAAACCACTGTGTAAAACAAGGCTAAAATAACAAAAATACTGTAACAATAAGCAATGCAGACAATAAAATCGTCCTGTGCTGGGGAAAATAACCCCATACAGAAATTGCCGTATTTTTGCAGAGAAAGGTAACGCGCGGCGGCGGCGGCGCTTCCTCGGGATCGCAGGCGCGCAGGGAGGCTCCGCCGGGCAGGGCGATCCGCGGCCCCTCCGCTCCTTTCCGGACGGGAAGCGTCTGCCCTAAGCAAGCGTCCCCCTCGGCGCGGGCCACGATCCGACGCGCTGAGCGGGAGCACCGGCTTGCCACCCGGGCCCCCTTCGCCGCGCAGACGGAAATGCCCCGGGACCAAACGCAGCGGGGCCCTCGAGGAGACCCCCGGCTCCAGGGTCCCAACGGGCAGGGGTGGCGCCAGCCGCCGCTGCAGCAGAGCTCTCCCTGCTGTAAGCGGCTTGCTTGCCCGG